CCCCCCACCCCACCACACACACACACACACTACTCAGCATCTCATATTGCCTCAGCCTCATTGGCCAACTTCCACATTCATCTGTGCAGCTGTACTGCCCACCTTAGTTATTAAGTACAGTAAGCAAGAGAAAAGCCTATTCAAAACTTCCAGTGATTAAAAAATTAGGAGGAACATCTGGATTTGCCATTAGTTCAGAACAGATGAGCCCAGCTGCTACAGGTGTCTGATTATACTCAGTTGCTGTAGACTGACTGCTCTCTGACAGACTAATGTAACCTTCCTGAATCAGCGGCTTCTTTCAGACTTTAAAAGCTAAAGTAGTGCCCCAGACTGGACTAATGAAGGCGGGGCCTGTGCTTTCATTAAGGTTAGTTTATTACCAGCACATGGATTGTAATCTTGCTCCGTCTGGAGGAAGAGGGTTCTCCTAATCTCCATTGAAAGGTACACTCTGGTGGCCAGTTTGGGAACAGCATCAGTGTTTGTGCAGAAGCAGCAATTTTAGACCAGCTTTATTGAATGCTTGATTAGTCTAAGTGCTATAAAATCTGTACAGTTAATTGCATTGTCTTGATATTTGGCATACCTCATGCGGGTGCTGGTGAGAGTTAGTAAACCAAATTTAGGGCCATTTGACAAAGGGATTCCCAAGATCCAGCCCCCTGTAAAAGTGTTTCTTACGGTTTATGGATCCTTCTAACTTCTCTCTGTGCAGATAGGAATGGAAACAAGGCTGTGATTGCCGCTCCAGAGAGCGGGCATGGCACCCACAAGCCTTCTGGGGACCAAAATTCAGAACAATCTTAGCCCAAGAGTCTGTCTCTCAATTTAGGTGCATGCCTAAAACTTCTAAGACTAGGGTGATCAGGTGTCCTGACTTTTTCTTAAAAACAGGCAAATTGTCCCATATTTTCTAATCCGCTGCCCCCATCAGTACTGGTAAGTCCTGCTGTTGGCCGGATCCCTGCTCACTAGCCACCCGCCCACCATCATTGAGGGGGTGGGGGGCAGTGGAGTGGAGTGGTGGTGTGGGAAGAGTGGCTCAGCTCAGGGGGGGAGGTGGAGATTAGGGAAGGGATGGGATACTGAGGTTGGGGGGGACATGCAGGTGGGAGGGATTGGCATGGGAGGCACCTGTCAGCCTCATTCTCTCCTCCCATGTGTGCACCAGGATGTGGGTGAGGCATGGCCATGCCCCTTTGGTAGGTATCTAAGATGCTGCTGTCTCTTGGGAGCTGGGATGTGGGGGGGCTCGTCTTTCCAGGTGGATTACAGACCCTCTCCATGTCCCCGCATGTGAGCCCCTCTGGGTGGGCAGCTGAGAACAGGCACACTCGGAGCATGCTTCAAGAGAACACATTGCTGACACTGCTGTGAGGCTTGATGGTATCACAGGCTTTCAAGTACTCATTGGAGACATGAGGGCACCCACTGAGATTACTGAAGTAGTCCACATGTCTCAGCTATATTGTCTCAGGCTGTATTCATCTCCATAGGGTGTTCTCATTCACGTGACATGCGTCTGACGAAGTGGGTATTCACCCACAAAAGCTTATGCTCCA